AGGGATACGGGGGGAGAAACCAGCTGCCGCCACTGCCAGTTCCACCCATATACATGAAGTCACCTACTCCACCCTTCCCGAGACTCCCAATATCATCTCCTTCACTCCCCTCTGCTGAAAAACTTACCCTCCCTTCTCATTCTCAGTTCTTCACATACTGCCTTCCTATACCCCAGGAGGCAGCTAGGGCAGGCAGTGTTTACCGCTGAGGTAATTGGAGTAGTTTGGAGACAGCCTGACCCTAGCCCTGCTAAGGCCTAAGGTGTGTGTGTGTGTGTGTGTGTGTGTGTGTGTGTGTGTGTGTGTGTGTGTGTGTGTGTGTGTGTGTGTGTGTGTGTGTGTGTGTGTGTGTGTGTGCGCGCTCGTATACTCACATGTGTGCGTACGGCTGTTTGTGATGACTGGCAGAGAGGCCAGGGAAGGAAAGCAGGCCTTAGCCAGTGTCATCCCACTAGGGAGCAGACAAATTGGCTTTCACTACTCTGCCTGTCTTTTCTCGTTTCATATTCTTCAGCTATTCCTTTCTTCTTCCTACCTATCTTTCCATCTCTCCACCAACTCAAGGACAATCTTTCACGCTTTCTCTTGTACTTGCTCCGCAGCGCTTTTTCTCCTCCTGTTACCCTTTTGTTCCACTTCTCTTTCTGTATCTCTCACTGCTCATCATTTCATCTCTCTGAGCTGAGCTGCATAGACTGCGACTCTTGCCAGATATGAGCAAAAACTCCCCCTCAGTTGCAGTCATAGACACGAGGAAACTCATCCAACCTAATCCAGGCGCCTGTTGCATTTTTCTGTGGGTGAGAGGGGAAAGGAAAGGGCCTTCAATCGGGGTGTCAGGGCGAGAGTGAGTGTACACAATCATTCATGGGATGCACATGCAGTAAATGCCATTAAACACTATTGTCTAATAAAAACTAGCATTAGCTACAGTTTGTTTTCATATAAAAGGCTGACACGAGCTGTGATCAGAAGAGGCACGGGAGAGTGAAGCGTGACAGTAATTTAGCATGCATCTAGTGACCTCATCGCCGGGTTGTCAGGTAGGCATTGGGACATGGCTCACCTGCTTTAGCTCATCACACTGCCTGCTCCTCCTCCGCCACCTTCCCTCATCCCTCCGTCTTGCTTGTCCCTGATAGCTTTTACCGCTCTGCTGATTTCACAAATAGGCCTCATTGATTGAATCTGATTCTTGTGGATAGAGCAGCTTTATTGAGTGGCTTTTTCACTGATGGACAGGAGCGTGTGTGTGTCTGTGTGTTTGTTACACACATTCATGTGTGCATGTAAGAGATGATAAGAGAAAACTTCCTTTCCCCATCCCTCTCATTCTGTAATCCAGGAGCTATTCATCTCTAGGGAATTCCAGCAGCCAGATCATTACAGACACACACAAAGAAGCTCTCACACACACTTAGTGCAGCATCAGAATGAAGATTTTATTATTTATTGTGCATGCCGACTGAGGAGTCTGTTAATTGTGACGACACCTTGAGCAAGACAACATTTAAGTGTTAACTGCTCTCTCAGGTACCGTTCATCATTTATCTAATCTGTGCTTCTGCGGGGGGAAGCAACATGATTTCTGCAGTACCGTCTTTTGTTTCCTGCCCGTGTAAATGGCTGTCTTTAGCCATTTTGAGCCTGTCATTTTTCAGTTGTTGTTTTGCTCAAACTGTAGCACTAATACAACCAGCACTTCCCAAAACCTACTACAGAGAAAAGTGGTGGCAATGCTGCAAGAGGGATTTTGTGTTTTGATGCAGAAAATGAGCTTGTTTCAGATGTAAAACAGAAATGATCTGTCTTGCGTTTGGGGGGTTTAGTGAGCAAACTGTTAGAGGCTGGAGCTATATCGGCAGCCCTCCACTGAGGATGTACACATTTCACACACAGCAATGCACACCTCATCCTTGCAGCAGCAGCAGCATCTGTGCTTTTCCCCTCTCGCTGCCCTCTATTTTGTCTCTCTCCTCTCAACAGGCAGTGTGCCACCTATGCAGAGTTGGATGGATGGTGGCACCCCCTTCCCCTTGCACCCATTTAACCCCCACAGCCCTGCAGATCCATCATTGCTCAACACACACAACACATGTAACACCCACATCCCTGAATGCATATGTCCTGATCTGCAGCTTCCTACTAAGTAACCCCTAATCGTTTTGTCATATACTTTAGAGTCTTACCCCTGAAATGTGCTAATTATTATGTCTTTTTCTTTTTTAAGTCTTAGTCTGTTGCAACCAAACTGATGCTGTGTTCTTTGCACTAAGCTTGCTGGGATGCTATGTGCTCATTAAGGGCTAGATCTTAATATAAGAGACAGTTCATTTAAATTACAGTTAGAGGTTTTTCTGCTTGTGTGTAAAATAAAACTTGAATGCAAGTGTGGTTTTAGCAGAATTGGTATTCTTTATCCAGCTCTCCACGTAGGGACACGGGCAAGATTGTGTGATTTATTATTGTCAGAATAAACATATTGAGCTTTGAATGTATTACACATGCAGCCCCTCGTCATGATTTTCCTCTGCAGTAGTTATGTGATTCATTTTGTATTTTTTTCTCTTTACTTTTCATCCCTCAATTTGACTGCCTTGATTATACTCTGTTACGGATACAGACCCGGCAGCCGAGTAGTCATTCTTCTAATATTTTATTTCAAATCTTCTTGAAGTCCTCCACCCGGGGCGCTTGCGTAGTTGGTGCATTACAATGTAAATTCTCTCCACGGTTCCGGAAAACAGGCAGGTATGTAGACATTTGCACGAACCCTCATGCTCTGGGTCTGATGATGAAATTCACATCACTTGTACCCGAGCATACTTGTGGACGTGGGAAGCTTACGTTTGCTTAAGCCAGCTCCAGAGAAAGGATTATGGACTTTTAGGGAGACCCAGACACACAACTAGAGGGAAGCAGGAGAATAAATGGTTGTTTTGACTTATGAGAGTCATTAGCAAATAACGGCAGGCTTGTCCCACTTTCTGGACTGCGCAAGGTTGTAGACACTATGATTATATTGACTTTGTAACGTAAGTAACTAAAGGTGATCCCAGAAATGGAAGAAACAGAGATGATATTGGATTTAATGTCTATTGGCAGGGCTTGTTCATTCACGTGTTCGGTTGTTTACGTAGAGATTGCAGCATCTAATTAGTACTGATTTTGTCTCTCTATTGTTGAGGGTTTATTGGTCCATGTTAGCGACTGACCTGGGCCGTGTTCAGTTAGTGTTGAAGCTGCATGTCAAGCGGCCCTTTGCTCACCTCCAAAGCTAATGGCGAGGGAGTAAAATAGTGCTTGGCTGCTATTTTAACACCTTGTCTTGACTTGTCTGTCATACAGCACCGTTCAAGCCTGTAGCTTGATTTTTTTTTATTTATTTTAACCAATTTCTGAATGTGCTAGTTAGCATAAGTTGTCATTTGATTAGATGTAAAATATTTGATTCAGAGGTGAATATTAGGACGCCATTTTGAATGAAATTAATGATAATTTAGATGTTAATTATTGGTAATGTAAAGCTGTTTGTTTAATCAATCAATTTCTAATTACCTGGAAAATAAAAACATGTCTGTTGAATCACTAGTTATTGTTTGATCAGCCTTTGCAGCTTGGAATAATTCTGTGTCGTTTTCATGCTTTAAGACCTCCCTATTAAAAGAAAAGAGAGACAGATCACAGTGGAGGTAGCGAAGGAAAAGAAATTTCCTTGCTTCATTAATTGGCAGCTCTGTGGTACACTAAACATGCCGTGTGCACACAGACACACACACGCAGACACACTGTTGAATGCTGTGACTGCTCTGAAGCCACAGCTTTATATTTAGTCAAGGGAGACCAGCCTCTGTCACTTTTTCTCTTGCTTAACCTCGCTCTTTCTCTTCCTCTCTCGGTGGCTGTGTTGAAGAGGAGTCTCAGGGGAGGGCTTAACTCTGAGCCCTCGTTCTTTTTCCGTTTCTTTCTCTCTCTCCTTCCACGTCTTTTCTTCCCTTATCGTCCTGTGAATGGAGCTGCAGGCTGTTGTTGAACTGTGAATTAGTCCAGGAGACACACTCTGCACCTAGACAAAATAGAGAAACGGAGGAGGTTCAGTATCTGCCTTTCTGCTTTCATTCCTGCCACCCTGACAGGTTTGCCTTACTCTGTGCACACATGAGGCGTTTAAATGCTGGTGCAGAGTGTATGTGCCTACGAGATGAACTAGTGAGGGAACAAGTGTCACAATTTTACCTTGAACCAGCAAAAGGTATAAAATCAATAACTGACTTGAGGTTAACCTGAGGTCAGCAAGGCTTCACGTGCACCCTCGGTTTTGTGAATAAGCCACGTAAGACTGTGCCTATATTATGACGTACAACCTGGAAAATCACAGGGAGGGGTTTGTGTTGTCATGGTTATTGGATGTTCGGTAGCTTAAGGGGAAATTAAGTTTGGGTGGGGTGGGGCGAGGTGCAGAAAAGAAACTGGGAGGAATGGATGGGTGAGTGGGAGGAGGAAGGAGGGGTGCTATCTTAATTGCTTTCCGTGAATAATTTCAGTCCCCTAATTTGGCGATAATGACAGTGGCTGCTGCTTTTGTATTTATTTATCCAAACATTAATTGACAGGACTGACATTAGCCAGTGCGGTTATTGCGCATTTGATTGCGCACAAGGGAGCAAAGAAAATTACAGTAATTATCATTCTGATATGGATTATGAATATGCATTCCCACACTTAATGTCTCTGTCAGCATTTTAGTAACAACAAGGCACTCTGCCACGACAACAGCACTTTAGCTTATCTCATATCTGCTTCCCTAAACCCAGTCCAACCAGTGCTTCTGGAGAGCAGATGACACGTCGTGTCCAAATGATTTAACGGCAACAGCCAGACATGCGGTTAGGTGAAATGGTCATCATGTGGATTGTTTTAGTTGTCCGATAGTTGTCGGCTCATGTTAATTAATGTAAGGTGTGTTAATGCGAGTATTAAAATGTTTTGTTTTTTAACAGGCGGAGGGAGAGGACAATTTGAAGAAGATGCAGCTGATGGAGCTAGCTATTCTCAATGGGACATACAGAGATAACAACATCAAAACACGTAAGTGAGCTGCAGTGAAAAGCAACCGCATCCCCAATTTCTATAATCCATCAGTTTTCTTCCATACATAATAAAAACCTTTAATATTTTAATGATATTTTTCCAATATTTCCCATTAACTCATACTTTTGGTTTTCATTAAATAAATGTGCAGTCAGCTCCACTGTGTGCATACATCATATTATCTCTGACTATGAGCAGACCTCTTTTTCAAAACTGTTTTCCAACCATAAGTAGGAATACCTCTGTTCCATTTTTCTCCATATTTCTTGTCCTCTCTGCCATCCTTTCATCCACCCATCCTTTCCCCTGCAATCCACATGCATTCACCCTGTTTTACTCGCTCCTGGCAGACTTTAAATATTAAGCACATTGCTGTATTTCACCTGCTCAGTTCTGCATGTCAGTTGCTGATTCACGTGTGTTTTGTAATCACCAAATTATGTTTGAAAATGTAAATCATATACAGCCCCAATGTTTGACTTAATGGCAAGTTAATCTGAACTTGTGCATGTGATTATTTTCTTAATAATTAATCAAAATTTAATTAAAAATGTCTCTAAAAATTGGTTATTCTGTACACATTTTTTTTTTTTTTAAAATGAAAGTTTAAGCGATTAATTTCTTTGTTGAATTTTTCTCGTTTAACATCTGCCTAAATGGGAGCCATGATGAAGTAGCCCACCACCCAACTGCAGTTACAAAAGCACTTTATTTAATAGGCTTCCCTTTGGGGAAGCTTGTGTGGCACAGCTTATAGAACATGCTAATGCTTAGCCTCTATAAGAATTATATTTGTATGTCCATTTGTCATCCAACACAAACTGAGTGCTGACTTTGCAGAGGATGGGCATTTCTTTAAGTTTAAATGCTCCCACTCTGACCTTCACATCAAGTTCAAAATTCTCCTCATTTTGCTTATTTATTTATTTATGCCATAAAAACTGCCTCCTCCTCTATATGAAGTCAACAGCTCTGTTTCTGTTGGCATGCGTGTCGTTTAACTCACCCATATCATTTCCAGTAGGTGAATGTGTAGCTGCTGTGGTGATCGGTCTGCTTCAGATGCACTGGGATGATGGCGTTATTTCAGTATTTTTGTGCTTCTTGTGTTTTGGTGTGTGGGGTGATTTTATTTTTTTTAAATTTTGTTTGGCAATGTTGGCAAAAGATTGTCGCTTTTGTGGTTCACCACCATGATCATTGCATGGACTAATTTTCCCTTTTGCTCCTCTCCCCTTTCTCTCTATCTCTCTCTGCCACTTCCTGTTCACCCTTCCTTTCCCCCTTTCGTATTTTCACACTTCACTTTTCATCTGTGATATTGTTCAACCACACTACACTTTATCTCTTGTCCTCTTTCTTTCTGTTCCTGTCCTTCACTCTCTTGCTTATGGCAGCCACCCTTGCGTTCTCTCTTGCAGCGGCGGCAGCAGCCGCTCAGGGCCCTCGCCTCATAGCGACCTCCACAGGTCAGGTGTTGCCTCCCCAGGCACTGCGGCCTCAGACGCCAGCCGGGGCCCCCATCATGAACCTCATCCGGCCCACTCAGATGGCTGCCATGCTGCCCAATGGCACCCCCACCCTGGTGCCTCCCACACCGGATGGCGGGCTTATCTACACCACCCCCTACGAGTACCCTTATGCCTTGGCACCCACCTCCCTGCTGGAGTACCCCATCGAGCATAGTGGGGTTCTAGGTAAGAGAGCCTGGGGAAGCATGGGTGCCGCAGGTACAGCGACCAGCTTTAGCCAGCCTGGACAAGAGGCCAGCTTGTTTTACCCCGGAGCTGGGGTGCTGGACGCGGCTTCCATGAGCCACAGTCAGGACTTGTTGAAAGGTAAATATGTCGTGTCCACCTGAGGATCAAAACAGACAAACTCACAGGGTGGATGTACTGATGAAGCTCTTGGTGATGGGATGACCAGCTATGTTGCTCATGGACACTTTGTTAAATGGCAATGGGGGGCAATAATTACCTTGTGTGAGGGCCAGGCTAATGGGAAGTTCTCTATAGACTAAAGATATTCACTGTTTAGTTACGTTCTTGCCAAACAGTTGCACTCTCAGGTTTATATTGCCTCTTGTCTGCAAGGTTTATTATAGGTGGACTTGCACTTGCCTCAGCGTGAAACGAGGCACACTGACAGTAACACACTCGCATACACGCAGGTCTGCTCCCTAACCCTTTCATGCACTGGCCTAGAGGTTTATTCAGTCTGGCGGCAGATCCCCTTGGATTTCTGCAGCTTTTGAAATTATTTCTCTGCGCTGTTGTCTGCAGGCAGGCCTCAATGCCTGCAGATAGTCCCTCTCTCACTCCCACTGGGGATGTTCATTAAATTCCCCCACTCACTCCCTTTTTTCCTTTCTCCATTGTCTTAGCTCTAGCCCCGTTGAACCGGAGCACTGTGCTAACACCTGACGCTCCACTTACTTTTTGTGTCAGAAAAAAAGTCCAATATGGAGGGGGGTCTAATATATGTTGTGTTTATCCCCAACGGTGCTTTAAGCTCAGCTCATCTGCTACCAAAGAAGAAAGAACTAGGTTTAGGCCTGGTACCGTCCCCATATGTTATATTAAGGCTCTAGTTAACACAAAAGAAAAGCCGTTTCCCGCGTTAGGCAGGAGAAACCTTTGTTAGCCGCTTTCCAGATTTAATTTGACACTGCACTTCACTAATGTTCACAGATTCATTTGGCAGCAGCAGACACAAGTGTGGTTTTAGCTGACCTGTGTATTTGAGGTGCCTCTGGGAGTCATGTGTAGAACAGACAGGGGCAGCTGACTGGCTTTTCTCTCTTTAACTTGCAGGGTTACACCAGCTTAGTGCATTTTATTTACTCACACTATCGATTGGTGCTTTCAGCAACACAGGGCCCTGTGGAACACGCTCCCTCTCATACTCGCGCGCACACACACATACTCACAGACTTGGCTCAGTTTCCTGCGCTACTGTATCTAGCCACCAACGGCTTCTCTGAGAATAAAGAAATGTCAGGCCATCTGCTACTTCAGAGTAGTGTAGTTAGCTGTGTAGTCATGGGCCAAAAAAATCTGCTCTTGATAATGCCAGAAGAAAATCTTTTTTTATAACTTATTTCGCATGTCCTCGCTTCCTCTGGGAAATGTTTTTCTATTTCATTTTTTTGTTGTTGTTTTAAATCCATGCACACATCTGAAATTTGTAATACTTGAACATAGTGTGGCACACAAACAGTTTTTGTGATGCATACGAGGCGGTGTCAACCGCTGCAGTAGAAAGAAATCAGATGTGACAAATATAGGAGGGAAATGACAGCCTGTGCCGCTAGTGAGCAGATTGACCTGGAGAGAAATGTTGAAAAGGGAAAGAGAAATTGAAGGAGAGAGGGAGAGGCAGGTGGTGTCTGGCACTATTCAATTACCATCAGAGCTGTATTGGATTTCCCCACCTTTCAAAATGAAGAGACAAATTTCTCTCTGTTCCCCTTTTGGATCCCACAGGAAGAATCACATTATTTTTCTAGACAGCCCTGGAGCCTGTACCCTTTACCTGCCCCCCCACCCACCCACATATATAACTCTGAGCACTGTGGAATTTTAGTACTTAAGTTATGCATTTTTAAATACCAAGTAAATCTCCAAAAAGTTGTATAATTTTTTTTCTACTGCATTTTTTCTACATGTAAAAGGAAAAAAAGAAGACGTGCTTGTGTGTATATGTACTATAATCTGTATTATGTTATTCTGTGTATTGTTGTGTAATCCGAGCATTATAATGGTTAAAATGTGAATGTTATCACTGTACAAATGACTGTTTTTGCCCTCCTCAAAGTGAACGGTTTCTAACCCTGTGGACCTGTTACAATCTAGGTGCAATGGCTACTAAAGTGAGACGGCATGACACGCGGGTCCATCCTTACCAAAGGATTGTGACCGCTGACAGAGGTCAGTTTAGTCTCTTAGCTACACTTTGATGTTGACTTATGCATTTCAGTGATTATTATATTATGCCTCGATGCCTTAGTTGGGAATTTCTACATTGTCTGTATTGCATTTTGTTTTGTTTTCCTGTCCCCCTGCCACCTTTCCTACCCCGTATTGCCACACGCCAGCTAAATGGTTGATTGTGGTATGCACATTTTGTTTACATTTAGTACTTAACATATGCAGTATGTGCAGACTGTGTATATGTCAAAGCTCAGGCAAAAGTGATGTTGAAAGGTTTGGGTTTTTGCAGCTGTGAAGCCAGGACAGGTAGTACTTTGCAGGCAGTGTTGAAAGTGTATAATGACATTCCTCTGATGTGAGATTAGAGCCTAAAATGGGGCAGGCTTGTTCCCATACATGATTTATCTCCTCGACTCATAGGGAGCAGAGAAAAAGGAGACTAATTTCTATACTGTATCGTAAAGACATAGCAGGCATAAGGCAAGTGGCCGTGCTGCTACCAGGCCCCATTTCACCTTGAAATTTACATTTATTTTTGATTTTTTGATTTTTCTCTGGAAGATAGGCACGCACAGACATAAGCTGAGGTAGCTTGCATTCTCTCCAGTGTATTGCAAATATATTGAAATAAAGCTAAAGTACATTTTTAATATTTCAGTTGTACATGAGGTACTGTCATTTTATATTTGAGCATTTTATATCAAATGTATTTATGGTTTTGTGTATATTTATATTCTATAAAAATATACTGCTAAATAAAGAGAACGAATCGGAAAACAGCGATTCATCTATTCATTGCACATATAACACTAGTCTTAGTTATGCTTCACATAACTCTAGTTATTAAGTCTCCTTAACACTAATCACACTGTTTGGAGCTTGCATTCCAACTCGAACGACACTAAAACACTAGATTTTTGTTACTTTGTTTGTCTGTTCGACCTCTCTTTGCTTCTATTTTTGGTTTTGGGGGCAATGTGCGCTTTATTTAAACCACCAAGCTACCTGATTCAGGGTGGGGCTTAGTAGTTTGGATCATGCCGTTGTGGCGCCATGATCGCAGTGAGATTAGCTGGGTTCACCTCATGTTGGCAGGGGACTAAGAGCAGGGGGCGACGTAAGAGATTGCATTCATTTTATTGTTAAAATGATGTCATTCCAGTCTCTTCTTGCTGACACTAATATCCTTTCTATCTTTTTTTTTCTGTTTGTTTTGTTTTTGTTTCTAACCACCTAGCCGCCACCGGCAACTAACACATGACCTTCTGACCTCTGAACTCTTCACCCAATGACGAGCCGCCCCAAGCCTGCCTGCTGATCAGTTAACTGGTAATTGCCTTTTGCTAGCCTCTCGGACGCAAGTGTGTGAGAGAGAGAGAGAGAGAGGCGCCTGCCCGTACAGTTACCCTAACACATTCTGACAATAAAAAAAAGAAAAGAAAAAAAGTAGAAACCAACGCAGAATCTTCACAGAAACACAACGAAAACCCAACAAAGTTGTGTGATATTCATAAATATTTTTTTCCCTTTGTTCATTGAGTTCGATTCCCATTCTTTCTCTTTCTTTTTCTTCATGAATCACACACTGGGTGGACGTGTTTGTGGTATGACTCATAAATCTGCACTGAATTACATAGCAATAAAGACCCCCACCCCACACACCCCACCCCCCTTCCTCTAATTACTCTGATGTGGTGACCTCACTTGTATGAATCAAAGTTGAGTATTTATTTGACGCAAACCATTTGGTTTCAGAGTAATGGCCCTCAGATTGACAGCCCCTCCTCCCCTCCCTCAAAATATAGATATAAGAGCGTCTACCTGCTCCCACCCTGTCCCAAAACCCACCCACGGGGAGAGAAAAAGAAACAGAAGGAAAGAGAACATACACTCACATTAACTTGTTTAATTTCTGTCATTTTCACGTGTAGTTCAGTTGTTGAGCTCTAAGATGTACTTTTGAGCTGACACATTCTGGGTGTGCCCCTCTAAACAGCTTTCTGTCTTTGTTTTTATTTAATTTTTTAAAAAGCATGGCTGAAATGATTGCTAAAGGAGCTTTTTATGATTTATGTGTTTTGTTTTTCTCCTGTCTGTTTTTAATGCTTTTTTTTTTTTAGTCATTTTCTCCACTTGATTTTGTCCTTTTTTTTTTCCCCTGTTGTTCATATTTGACTAATTAGCTTTTGCTTAAACCTGACCAGCCAAAACCAAGGCGAGGTGGTTAGCTCTAAAGCAGTACGCCAACTGATGTTCAAAGCAGGCTGCAGAAGCTTAAGAAATGATGAAGGGCAAGATGGGAAGGTCACTACTTGGGCTGATGGTTCTTTGTGTGTTTTTGTGTGTGTTTTTAATTAATACTACAATGAAAGTAGGGTGTGTTGAGGCTTCGGGGGGAGGGAGAGGGAAATTGCCCCCCCCATCCACACTACATCCACTATACAGTGCCTGATGTATTTTGACAAAAAAAAAAATCTCAATGAGTTAGCTGAGCTGTGATCACAAAGACAAAAAAAAGTATTAAGTGTGCATATTTAGCCAAAGGGTTTGCCAGTGAATTATATATCTGCAGTTATGCATCTGTCTCACAGAGGGCTCTCTTTGTGATTTTTAAGAGTTTAAAAGGGTGTGAATTTTTAGTGCCTGCCTTCAGCTGTAACAGCCAGCCAGCCAGTCAGTTTAGATGATTTCTCACCCATTACTGCTCTGTTTTCTTTTAAGGTGAAGAGATGCTAATCAACACTAAATCAACATGTTACACAGTGACAGCAAAGGGGGGAGGGGGGCACTTTGAAGTTCTGTACATAAATGCTTTTGCCATGTTACCTGGATTCTATATTAAGTTGTTTCATCAGCCACGTTGCCAAACAGATGTTTTATTTTGCCATTTTTTCCATCTCCACGTTTGACTAATTCTTTTTAAATGTATTTTAAGTTTTAACCCCAGTTTGAAGACTTTACATGAGTTGAATCGTGCAGTTGGCATAATCTTAGCCTACTTGCATTTTTGTGTTTTTTTTGTTTTTTTTTACTGATGAAATTTCTTCTTTTTTCTTTTTTTAAACTCGAGGTAAACGATCCAAAAGCGCATCCACAATGTGTCACACCTCCCTGTGATCATAGTCTAGCTTCTGAGCCCACAATCTTTTGTTTAACTCTCTCAAGAAAAAAATAGGATGTGAAAGCCATGCCTGCCTGTTCAAATTGCTTTATACATACGTCTTATATATATATAAATATATATATAAATATATAAAAATGTAGATATGTCATTGCATATTCAAATACAGAAGAGAACAAAAAAAAAGATAATTTTACAGGGTGCTGGAGATGAGAAAAAATAAGATCTATTTTTGGCAATTTTAGCTTTTGATACTTTACTTGCAGTTACAAAATCAGAAAAAAATAAAGAAAAAAAGTTTAAAACCGTATAGGGGAAATGGGGGGGACCAAGTGGGGAAGGGGAGGGGGAGACGTGCTGTTGACCTTGAATATGATTGGAAAAGGAAGACCAAAACAGTCACGACCCTTCGGAAAGTTAGCGAGCATCAGAGTGAGACTGACGCCTAGAGAGCTTAAAAAGATCAAATCAAAGTGCCTTATCGACAGTGGTTTCTGTTTTCTAGTATTCCAGTTGTGTTCAATAATATCCAGCACCCACCAAGATGGCGCAGAGAGGAATGGCTGGTGTTACACGCTCTGAAAGGTCGAGCAGGGTAGCCGCCACCGTATCGTGGCGTTACCGAAGTTATTCTATGCAAAAAGAATAGCAGTCGTTTTGACCAGCTACAAACATGTGCCATGGTTTTGTCTTCCTGAAATGATTTTTTTCTCTTTTCCTTTTACCTGATGGCCCTTTACTCTGCTGTATGAGCAGATTGTGTTCTCTGTTTTTTTAATTATTATTATTGTTATTTCGATTCTAACGATCAAATGAGATATTGTCTTGATTTTTGTTGACTTTGACTAACTTCCTAGAACAAATTGAACTGCCAGTCGTGACCCAGTAGTCTGCCGGAACATGTTTTTTTTTTTTTTTTTTTATAGTTTGTTTGTTTGTTTTTTATTATGAGCTAAGAAAAATACATGATGTTCAAGGGAGTGGATGGAAGAGCGAACAGCAGGTGGGGAGGGTCGTCCCCACTATGCCTGTTTGTTTTTGTTTCAACAGCTGCAAACTGAAAGCATCCAGTCCACGTCTCTCAGCGTCAGCTTGACAACAAACTATCAATACAATCATGAGGTTTAAATTGGACAGCTGAAATGTTGGAATAATGAAACAAGCGAGGCCCGCTTCACCGCCAAACAGTTCTCAGCTGTTGAAATAACTGACAGTTTATTGCTGGAAGGTGAAATAATATTAAAATCGAGGAATTCTTAAATCCAATATAACACTTGGCGGTTTTGGGTTTTTTTGTTGTTTTTTTTCCCCCTCTATTCATAGCTCTTTCATCACGCTGTTACAGTGAAAGGTCAATGAAATATTCTTTTTCAGTGTTATTATTTTTATTAAATTGAAATGCAATATTAAAGTGGAGCAAGAGATGGTTATTCGGCATTTGACAGTATTAAGAAAATTCCCTCTGCAATGTTACAACTTGCTGTGTCATTGTGAAAGGCTGGATAAGACCATCAGGGGAAAGGTTGACTCTTATGCCTACCGTATTCTCTCTGGCCTGCCTACTACATGTATGATAATGTAATTAACAGCCATTGTTACAGGTTTATAATGTATTTTTCTAATCTCATTTTATATGTATATTAATCATGTTTCTGAGTGCTTTTTTTCTTCTTCTTTTTCTTTTTTTTTTTTTAAATGAAACCCACTGCAATCCCCCTCGCCCTTAAACAACCCTCTCTCCTCCTTCTCCCCCGCCCCCTCCCCTCATCTCTTTTACATCTCGAAAACTGTCTCTTGTGGGGAGTGTTGCCTTTTTCCCTGTTACGTTTTGTTTTCTTGCTGATTCCCAGCTTGTTTAACTCATTAGCTACTTTATTAGTTTATTTTTTTTCCTTGTCACGAGTATTTTTACATGCTTGCATTTAGTTTTCATGGTGTATGCTGTTATTTTTTTCTTATTAACCTCTTGGCATTTATTTTAATAAAACATTCTTAGTAAGAATTTTACTAACTTGCTGATATTTTGTCTTGTGTTTATAACCAGTTTCATGAATGTATTACCTCTGGTCTGGTTCACGGACTAACACGATTAAAACCAGTTGTCCTGCCACCACTTCCACTGACTGACAACGCACATTACATGAACGCGTGTGCTCTACATAAAACCACTACACACACGCACAGATCTAACTGGAAACTGCACGAGTTGATAAATGTCCCTCACTGCCGCTCACGCGCTCTCACCTCTGTGCTGACAACAAAAAAAGAAACCAACAAAAAAAAGTCTCTTCATACTTGCACCCAACACTGCTGCTATGTCTTGTCGTCTCTCTCCGAAGCAACTTTTTGTTAGTTGTCCTGTCCGCCTGTGTCACTGACCCTCCGCCGCCCCCTCCGTGAGACGGCAGGAAGTGTCGCCCTGTCTGAAACAACAAGCCCCACGTTGCTCGAGGTCACGGGTTAACCTCTGGGTCGGCTGTTCTCTCTCGAACGAGGCGCGCACTGATTAAAAAAACAAATACATCTCCACACGCAAAGTCAAAACGCCCTAATCCCCAGAAGATAAAACTCCCATTTCCTCCCTACACACACACAGACACACACACACACTATCTCTAACCATTAGTTAGTGCAGGACTAATCGCAAGCTGTGCAAAAATACTCATATTAGTCATCTCAAAGGGATTAATTTTACTGTGAATGTGAAGAGCAGAACATCTCATCACTGCATATTATAGATGTAGTGAGTTATTTACAACAGACACTCGGGCGGGGGGGCAAATTTATAGATGGCAGTTGTGTGAACGTCTAAAGCTGTATTTTATTTTATTTTTTCCCCACTTTCCCTCTGTTGCATCCCTGGCTTATTATGCCTGGATTGGAGCATTACTGTTATCACCAGCTGTTGCCTGTTTGGTGAACACTTCTCCCCATTCAGCTTATTGATATAACGGCTAATACTAGGCCATTTGGGAGCATCTATAACGCTTAGACACACACCAGTACACCACGCCAATATGAAGTGCTCTGGGATCAAAACAACCGTACTATTTCTTCCAGTGTAAGAATGCTGATATGGCTTTCAGCTTGTTAGTATTTATCACCTTTTTTCTGTCCAGGGTGGATTTTCCTCGTCTGAAACACTGCCAGTGTGTGTGTGGTTTCTTTTTTGTTTCGTGTTTTTTCATCCTCCTGCTGACATTAAACTCGTCCTGGGGTTCATTGAGCTTTCTTCTTCTTTTTCTTTATTCAGCTCTCTTCTTCCTCCACTCTTTACTCGAGGTATTGACACTGACACACAAGCAAAAGATTAACTTCATTAATCCCGATTATTACTTTAACCCGCTGAGTTGTTGCCTCCAGATCATTATTTTGGGGTTTTTTTTCCCTCCTTTTTAATATCTGCAGCAACCAAAACAACTTGGCCTTAACTTGTTGCATTTCTCTTCTTGTCTCAGCGAGCAGAGAGCAAGAATTAAAGTGTCTAACATCAAAACTAACATTTCTCGACTTGTAAAATTAACATTAACATGTTTTTATTTTACTTTAACCTTTAACACCTGCTTATACACCAGCAAATAAAGGCAGAGATTACATTACGAGCAAGCCAAAAAATTGTAATTTTATTTTTTTCGCTGTGCATTTTTGATTGTTAGACATAAGCTTTTTATTTATTAATCTAGGATTGGCCTTTAATGTGTTTTTTTTTTCTTTTCTCGATGGGCTTGTCTGTGTCGTAATGAGCAATTTGAGCTAAACATCCGTCCACTAGCTGTCACAAGCCTTGCCTTTTTATATGTCGGAGAGGTTTTCAGTGGCTCCCGTCAACAAACGAGCTGATGAAAAAGACTGAGCCGGTGGGAGTTCTTGTCTGAAGCACAGTAAACTACAAACGCTGCCTAAAATACCGCGGCTGTGTTTAAAAAGTGCCTTTTCTTTCTCAGATTGGAAAATTATATATTTTTGTACTTTATCATTCAAGTGCCAATTTTCTGCCTCCCTTTATCTCACCAAAAGCTGTTGTTTTTATTCTTGGCTTGTTGAGCACACAAAACTAAATACCCAAGCACAATGCACATTTTTTTTCTTTTGTTTTTTTTTCTTTAAACTGGGAAATTTGACCAAAAAAAGAGGGGGAATTTGGTCACAGATGTTTCCCACCATTAAACTTTGGCTTAATGGGTCCTGTTTTCGATTTGATCCACTGAGAACTTTCTAATCGGACCACAGTATGCAGTGAACTGCTGCTGGTTGCATACTGCTGCCATCTCTGGCAGAGTTCTCACTGTCTTTTCCAAATCTGTCACAGGACATTCAGTGGATTTATCTACTAACTACCTTCTCACCTGTCAATCTCTTTTTCTTCTTCACCTCTGTTTAACAAACATTCCTCCAATGAGTTAAATGGCAGGTTTAACCAATCAGTACTGGTCTCAGCGATGTAGCACTCAGGTGGTTGAAAGAAAAATGCTACCAAAATACAGAAATAAATTCGCCCCACTGGATTTTTCTTCCTTTTAAAAAAAAAAAAAATTATATATATACTAAATATATATATATATATATATATGTATATATATATGCTTGTTTAATAGTTATAAAACAATTTTTTTTCCTAAAAAAAAAAATACTAGTATGATATATTGTAAGTTTCTCATCCATTTAGTGATGCAATATCTGTGAGATTTCCTTTTTTGTGGAGTTGTAAGTTTTTATGTGAAGTAGTCTTTATTTTGTTTTGTGTTATCTTGTTTTTTATTATACAGGGTTAGACTGAGAATTTTTCAATAGGGTGTAAAACATGTAATGCCAGTTTTTGTTGCTCACACCAAAAAAAGAGGAAAAAAAAGAATAAATATGAGGAAAACAAATGTCATGTGTGCAATAAAGAACGATATTTACAAGCTTCCCTCTGACTGCTCTACCTGGACTCGTCCTTTTCACACTTTTTATCGGTAACATCATTTCTTTGGATTTGCTGTGACTTTGGGGAGTTGAAAAGGTAGGTAGGTGTGCTATACTTACAGGAAGTTTAAAAAAAAAAGTGAGGGTTCAGATCCTGGAAAAATAACTCACCTAAGCCTTTAAAGTGAGATCAAGCCCTCTGCTGGATTTGAGTGTGATGTTGGTAAAATGTAAAATGCTGACCTTCAAAGAGGGTCACACAGTTAAAGCTTTCTCTCTGGAGACGGCATCCACACTGACTTTTAAAATCTGTGCTGACTACTGCTGCACCAAATCCTCGCGCTTCACTCCTGTCTGGTCCAGTCAATCGTTCTCGACCGCTAGTAATCACGCGTGACAGGTGACACCAAGTATACTGGCGTCAGGTTAAAAAGTTGACACTTCTACAGCAAACTGAGCAGTGATACTATTTAGAGGCGGATCTGTTTTAATAAAGGCTGACGATGCGGAGTGATGTGTCATCTTGTCATTGCTGCACACGGCGAACTCATCACGAGGTCGACCGCTCGCTAAAAGGCTGCGTGTCGCACTGAATGAGCAGCATGCAGTGTTTACATACTCGCTTCCTATAAATAGCTGTGTTTCACTCATTAAATGTCACGCGTGCGTCTGCCAATGCTTTCAAGACTGCAAGGGGTTAGATTATCTTACCGGTGTGTTTAAAATTTAATACGTCACGCCTCTGCTGCCATACACGAATTGATCTTTGAGTTTTATGTTTTCCATTTTAAACATAATGTTTTACTTGGAGTCCTGGAGGCTACTTAACCTTCTTAACAGCTATAAAAGGAAAGGGGAGGAGGTTGTAATCAGTAGGGTATTTTCTGACCTGTTGGAGTTTTTACTGTTTTAATTGTGCAAGACGTTTATCTGGTTTTCACTCAGTAGCACTTTAATCCAAGGAAGATGGTTAATATTTCTGTCTGCAGTCATTTATATTTGATGGGATGGCTCTGTGGTGGGGAGAGCAGCAACAAGGACCTCCTGCACAAAAAGCACCAGGCGTCAACACTGACAGCAGGTATCTCATTAAATCAGATACAGCATGAGGAGTTGCCACATGTATGCAGAACTGCAGGCACTGAAATGCCACATGCTAAATGAGATTTAGCCAGTCTGCAGCTGAGCCCAACTCTGTGAACAATATGCCTGTTTTAGTGCTCATGCACAGGCCACTTTACTAGGTACACCTAACCAGCCAATCACATGGGATTCAAGTGTCCACATGATGAAGAACTGTGATTTAAGTGAGTTTACGTGGCAGTTGGTGCCTGACCCACACAATCATTTCTAGGGTTAACAGAGAAAAATAAAATGTGAGCCACAAACACATCTTGAACATCTCTGAACGCGCAACAGCCTTAAATAAGCCTTAAAGCAGATGGGCTACCGCACACAAGGCCACACCAGGTGCCACCTATCAGGTAAGAACAGGAAAGTGAGGCTACAGTTTGGTCAGGCTCACCAAACGTTGATAATCAAAGACTAGAAAAATGTTGTCTGGACTCGATCGTAGGGCCCGAATTTGTGGATCCATCCTGCCTCAGTTCAGGCTGCTAATGGGGTGGGAGATATTTTCTTAGCGCACTTTAGACCTCTTTGTACCCACTGAGCATCATTTAAACACGACAGCAAACCTCAATATTGTTGTTGACCATGTTGACCCTTTACCACAGTGTACCCACCTTCTAATGGCTGCTTCCAGCAGGATAGCACAACATGTCACAAACTGGTTCACTGTACTTAAATGTCCTCCATAGTCAGCAGATCTCAATCCAATAGAGCACATTCGGGATGAGGTGGAACTGGAGATCAAACGAGCAGCTGGAAAATCTGCGAGAACTGAGTGATGCCCTCATGTCAACAGGAACAAAATCTCTGAGGAGTGTTTCCAGCAGTTTGTTGAATTCAGGCAACATATTGTAAAACGTCTCATTTGGAGTCATTAAGATGCCTGATGGTAATTTCTATGTTTTGTCACATTTATGCATTGTGCAAGTTCAGTTTGTGGCAAACAAAATAAGATATCACTTACAT